AATTGAAATGCACATGTAGATGTTATATATTTCTCTGCAGTAGCATTTGCCATGAAAAGGTCGAAATAATGTTTTTCAAGAAAGAACACTGAAGGACTTATTCACATCTCATTGATTATACAGACGTCTATAAACAGTTAGGCTTAATTAATACTGGAACAATCGTAGTGTACAACCCCTCCCCCCCCCCCCNGTAATTTTGATACCTCATTCATTCCATCTGTCGTCACACACTTCATACTTTCTTCTTCCACACGGTTCGCGCACGGTTCACTTAATCCGCTCGTTGTTTGTTATCAGTTGTCCAAGGTATACTATCCGTCGTTCGAAGCTTTCATGCATTCCGTTTTCAGTCCTTTCAAATAATTAACCATAATAGCAAGTTATTTTTGTATTACGTAGTCATATACAGTGTGCAATGACAGTTGAGTGAAAGCACTCGAACGTGAATGCCAAAATCAATCTCGGCTCATTATGTTCTTCTTGCTATGTTTAAATGGCAAAAGTGAGAAGGAATACTCAATATCCTTGAATGTAAAGCATAAGCCGATGTACATCTGTTATTCGTTCCCTCTATCGTCTTCACTTAATTTGCTTATACCTTAGCTAGCAAATGCTGCAGGGATTCAATTATTGTGGATTTTTAAATTGAAGTCACATCAAATTTATAAAAAAACATTAACCTGCTCTCACCTTTCAGCATATTCACCAAAAAGACAATTGAAGCGAGAAATATGTTTCGATTAATCATCTGTAAACTTAAACGTTAATATACGACCACGGGGGTGGGGCGGAGTTGTAAAATAATGATTTTACTGATAGGTGTGGCTGCAGAGCTCAAATCAGTTTAATTTTACTCATTACATTACACGATTATTCAGTCCTCTTTGGACTTCTTGAACCACGGTTGATTACATCATATCTTCTGACCATGGTAGTCAGCCTTTTGCTTCCACTCTGTATCAAAATGAAGTCAGTGGTTCTGTTATCTTTTCGATGAACAGTGGGAATATTTTCACAACGTAATCGACTTTATGCCGAGGATTCAGACAGTCACGAGTATGCCTAATTTGAAATCTGCCAAACAAAGACGAGCGACACAACGAATCCAATTATCATTCGTTTTTATGCTGATAATAGACCAAGATTATTCCAGATGTCTGGGCAAATTCATTATTCCAGACTACTTTCATGCAATAAGATGTAATAATTAGAAAAACTTATGCTCACCTTAGCATATATGTGATATCCCAGGAGCTCCCATTATAACCTCATTGGATAAAATCATTCTGATAGGGATTTAGACGTAGAAAAAGTACAGTTGAAATGAGGCAAATTAAAGTTATATCAAAAGTCGTCTACGGCGATAACTTGCCAGCTTTTTAACGGCATACGGTGTTGTCATCATTCACCATTTTTGCTTCACTAAGCACCGAAGACCAATTGAGTTCTTTAATGGATTGTCTGCCCAGTCAGCGCGTTCGAGAATCCACACCGAGTTGCTCGCCTCACTTCATAAACATGACTAGTGAGTGTCCAATGTGCGCAGCAGGGATGCCACAATCACATGGGTGGATCAAAGTTAACAGGAGGTGTATCGTACACATTCCTCACTTGTGCTCAAACGGCCACGTGTCAGTTTGAGGCATTCCATGCTGCACATCTCACGGAAGTCTATTCAATCGGAGGACATAAAATAAGATAGAGAAGAAAACTGATAATGTGGAGGAGGGGGGCGAATGCTAGTGATAATCATTCGCGATCGGACGATAAATTGTAATGTACTACACCCTGTGTTGCATGTTCATTTCTCCTCTGACTTCGTTATTCTAAAACCGAAATATCAGCTGCTTGAATTAAGGATAACCTAGAGATGAATCGGTAGCGTGCGGTAGGTTAAAATATCATTCAACTGACCCCATGCTTTCGGCACTAAAGAACAGAACATGGACTCAGGGTGGACTGGTAATTCACAATTATATTGTCGGCATCTACCTTATAAAAAGACCGGAGTATCCTCAGGTTTTAGATATAGAATAGAATATAGAATATATTGTGAATCATATAAAAATCGTTCTCGCATATGTTCACCGCTCCAATTCACACTTCCCTCTATTCGAGGGAGGCTTGCTAAACTAACACTTTACCTCAACCCTATGTCTGTCTGAACTACTTCTTTTCACTCAGGTGATTGGGTAGGTTGAATTGTCTTTTGTGTGCGCTTTGACGACTAGTTGTAGAATGTTTTATCAAAGATGGGGTTTTAGCAGTCTCTCTTACCAAATTACGTCAAGAGATATCGGTATGAAGCGTACATTTATTGATCAAGTGGTCATAGGAACCTATAACTAAAAGGGGTCCTGGGCTGCGGTGTTGGTCATACGATGGCACTCCTAACATCAGCAACCCGTTGATCGTGTGTTCCCACCCGTCACCGCGCTCATTTTCCCCCATTTTGTACATTTAGCAGACAACTACTGTTCGCAGGCTATCTCCTAAAATAGAAGTGTATTTTTTGAATTCATAAACTAAAAATGCCAAAGATATCAATAAAGGTATGCAAACTTTCGTCGCGTAATATGTGCGCGATCGTTGAGCAGAGTGACCATGACCACACCGTGAAATGTGACACTAACTCGACTCATATTTGACTGGACAATATGAAAAGATTTATTCTCAGTCCACACAAGCATAATCAATAAGAGGCACGAATGAATCGACTTAGTTAAGCTGAAAATCCCGTGCCAGCCTGAACCTCATTCAGAGAGTGAAAAAGGGGGATAATGGTGAGTGGACGGCTGTCTTTGCAAGAGTAAGCGCGTATCGTCTTATCTATAGTGCCGTACACCGTAATCCAATTATACTGCTCGCTGCCTCTCTCACGCTCAAAGGGGTATGAAGCCATCCAGAGGCTTGCTTTTCAGCAAATTGGATTGTGTTGTGATAAATGAGGGATACCATGTTCACCTTCGTACACACATACATCTTAAGGATCGTGAACTGATCACTAGCTAAGTGTTCGTTTTCGAAATCAGTATAAGCAGGAGTTTGTGTGCGTGCTGTTGCCGATTTGCAAAGTGGACATTTTCCCTTAAGATCGCAATCAAATCACCAAAGCACAGACTTCTTTCGAAATGAAATTGCAAATATAATCCTGTACACGCAGTATCCCTTTTCTGTTATGTTCGGACGTGATGAGAACCGTAAGCGCTGTTTGTTTTCTTCAGTTCCCCACAAGCAATCACGACCAGTTGGCTACAGGTCGGAGGTTTGATTGCGCGAACCACCAGACTATTTGGATACAGGAATCGGACCAATCACTGAAGCCCCAGAACTGACCAATGACCGATGAGTTATAGGTGAACCAATCGTGTGTACGTGATAGAAATGTCTGAGGAAAAGTGACACGCTTCGACAGTTGTCAAATTTGTTTTGCCGATTGGTCAACAGAAATAACGTGGTCATGTACTTTATGATCTGGGCTCACAGGTTTTATGTGCTACCTTAATAGAAATGTTCAGTGATAAATTTGAAAAGCTGAAAGAACAGAAAATGTGCACTAGCGTTCGCCCAATCTCATTTCACTGGATGGATAAAATTAATCACTGTTTCTTATTTTCTCATTGATTCAAGGATGGGTTACAAGCAAACCGGCTTACGTGGAACTGCAAATCTACCGGCATCATGCGATTCCGACCAAAATCCGGACCAGTGAGAGCCAATTTCCCACACGTCAAGTGCTCAAGCACGAACATTTGTTGTTTTTGCCGTCCGAATCATCAGATTTCACCAGTCGGAAAGGCTTCAGACATGACAATGTGCCAGATCATTTGGGCGTCCCGTTTACGTTTTCCGTGGATTTACGTCTTACAACTCTACCACACACAATCGCCCTTAACATATTGCCCGTTGTTCACATACAGCTGAGTAGCTGCTCCCGATCTTATACACTCCAAGCGATTCTAAGCAGAACTGAGCGAAACAAGGCAGTAAACCAATCAACTGTTCTCCATTCATCTGGATTAGGCGCTGACCAAAAGCTGCCAACCAACTCCTTGACCATGAATCGTCTCTATCTTCCATTTATTGTGATTTGTACAGTGGTCGGG